TCAGCAGGATCCAAACAGGGGCATCTTTTCCACCAGTGTGCTGCTTTCCCTTGTACCTCTCTGTCTCTGTAAAATAGTTTTACACTCTGTTCCTTATCCACAGAATGCAAATCTCATTAGTTCGCTTGATGTTTGCCTCAGCTTAGGTTTTTTTCTTCTTTATAAAGATAATGACATTTCCCTTTCTTCCCTACCTACTATTTTCTTGCACATTACCCCTGCTTGCATTACCACTTTAGTCATGACTCATTCATTCACGTCTCCGAGGGTGCTGCCATCGTAACATCTCTCTAGTGTAAATGAAACAACTCATTTACTATCAGATCTATTGGCATTTATTTACAAGCCCCAGAAAAGCAATCCCTTGGTGCAGCCAGTCAGCTGCAGTCTGTTTCCTTTGTTGCAGCAAAACTGGCAGGAGTAGCCACCTAGACCTCCCTTTTGCAGGGGGAAAATTAAATTTCTTAGTCACTAGGAGAAGCAAACAACCCGTGTAGCTGTGATGCCAAGCAAGGGTTTCTGATGTGGGCCCACCAACCCATGCATACAACAGTGGTTCTGCGGACCATATCCCTCCTTATTCTGCTTTCAGTCCTGCCAGCCAGACTCTGAAGTTCTCAAAATGCTGTCAGCTCTGCCTTCTCCAGGGAGAAGATAAAGCCTCTGCATAATACTTGTCCTATCTCAGACCTCTACTACAGGCTGCATGGTTTTTTCCTTCCTAATTAGCCTCCTGATAGCACTCAGGAAACACATACTTGAGAGGAGTGAAAGACATACTTGGCAGTGTGTCTTCCACTTTACTTACAGCTGTGTGTTGGTGTGATTATCTAGACATAACTCTAGGAAGCTGGAGCGGAACTGGCTGTGTCTAATCTGTATCTAGTGTAAACTTGTACTGGACACCATAGCCAAATATTGTATTTAATTTCCACAGTAATGACCTGTGACTCCAGCTGAGCGATGTATAAATTAGATTGGTTCCACTTGTGTCTCACAAGTGACCAGTAACTTTTAAGAGGCATTACCTTAATGTAACCCTGGCCCCTCTGCTCTCAGGATTCAAGCAGGGAAGGGTATTTAAAGGTGCTGCTGTTTTGAGTCTGTGTAAGACTGCCTGCAGCGACAGCCGGTTTGATGCTGCCCAGGAATCGATGCCCATGCCGAACCTCCATTGCTCTTCCTTCTTTTCAGCTCGAGTGTGTGAGCATTCCCGCAAAATTGGGGAATATGGGACAAACAATACTGAAGGTCCAAAAGAGCATATATTTGTGCTTTATTTTTTTTGAAGGAAGTTCAGTTTCCTTTCTATAGAAGTTCCGTAAACCAGGACATTGGGGTAGCTCTGTTGAACAGTCTCTTGGAAATAGGTGTGTGGATATGTGTGTTTGCGGTGTTCCTGCCATCTTCAGATAAACTTTGTAGAGCTTTCGGCCTGGGAACGCTGACCTGAACGGCAGGCTGACCCTTGATCAGATAGCTGAACTGGAGTAACGGTGTTGACACAGGCTTCCACCAAGGTATTCTTCTCAGTGTAGGAAATGATGCTGAAAATGTTTAATGTTCTGAAATGGCAGAGGCCAAAATAAATGTGTTTCAGTTTCTTTCCAAGGTAGCTGTTAAACAAATAGCTCTGTGCTCATGTGTAATCAAGTCCTTGTCTATGTTTGGCACTCAGTTGTTTTCCTCTGTTTGAAACAACTCAGAAGGATATTTATTTTTCAGGTTCCCTTTTCAGTCTTCTTCATCTGTCTTTTCTAGGCTTTATATCATAGCTATTATTTTTTCAGCTATGAATACCTACAGTTCTTGGGGGTGTCTTTTATCGATTCATTTGGTCATTTTGGATCTTCCCAACTGTAATTATCTGGTGCTTGAAGAGTGAGAAGAAATATGTACATTTGGAAAGCATGTTGAAAGTATTTGAAAGGCAATTTGTTTTTAAATTAAATTCATCTTTTCAGATGTGTCCTGCTTCTTCTCCTTATAATCTACTTTAGCATGATCACAAGCATATTTTTGAAGCTACATGGGAGCAGTTTTACTTCTTCGAGCTGTAGCTTAGGTTATTGTACAGAATCAGGAAGCAATAAATGAAAATATTTTGCTTCTGAAGCTTGAGTAAAGCTTATTAGGAGAATACTTGTTTCCATAGCAGTCCTCTGAAGTTTTTGGAGAACTTCTATGGGAAGGGGACGTCTGAAAAGCTCATGCTATGTCCACTTGAATAGCTCGTTACTATATATTTTTAAAGCTTTCTTCAGGGGTAAATAGAATGATTTGGGTAGGTTTATTAAAAGGAGGTTATTACTATCTCTTAAAAGGCGACTTTAGTGGAGTTCCCCTGATTCAGCTCTGAAGCTCAGCGCAATTGAGCCTGCAGCACTTTTCTTTTGCTGAGATTGTCATAGGTGTCTTCCTCCAAGATGATCCAGAGGAGGAGGGAGAAAGAAAAGCGCTTTGAGACGAGAGGTGAACGTGAAGCTGTATTGCTAGCCTGGCATTGCCGCTCTGGCGCCTCTGTGCGCTGGTGACTTGCTGCTGCTCCTTCACCAGCCTGTCTGTGTTTGGGTGGAGATACGCAGTGGCTTCAAACAGTACTGTTCCAACCATGCCCAGAAATTCCTCTTGCTGGTAAGATGGAAGCTAATTCTTTCCAGGCAGCTCACCTAGTGGTGTTGTTATTGTTTGGATTTTTAGACTAATGTGAATGGTATGTGGTTTATCAAGAAATGCCAAGTTCCGAGATGAGTGCTTTTGCCTGGATATTGTATATCAAAGATGTCATGACTTTGGTGCCGGTCAGGTTAATTAACTGTTGCTACTTGATATTTCCAGTACAAAAAAAAGACTGCTATTAAAAAGTCATATTTTTAAATACTGTTTAACTGATGCAAAACAAACGTGTTTTGTGGACAGCAAGGGACATAACAAAAGTGTACTTCATTCCATTTAGAGAAATAATTTAAAGTCCTGAGAGGTAGTTCTCTATCCTGGCAAATCTGAATACTAATCTTTTTAGCTTGGTCTGGAGCTCAGTAGACGTGTTTGGCTTGAATCGGATGAAGAAATGGATTGAATTTTCATATGTAAAAACTTTTCGCTCTTTGGTTTTCTTTTACAGTGGTTTAGAAATTGGGGGGAAAGGAAGTTTGGCTCTAGTAAGCCTTAGAATTATAATTGTTCTTTTAAACAGACTTTTATGGCTGTATTAAATATGAGAAGTATACAGGAACTCATGGCGAAGAATTTTTAATAACAAATGTTGAGCAATATAAATATTAGTGCTGCTATTTGAGCACTTCACAAATATTGGAAAATTAGTCATCTTTGTGTGGAAGGGAAATGCCTTCAAGAAGGGGTCCAGGAACACGATGTCTTACCCCTAGCCCATGGAGGAAGACTCTGGCAATTCTGTATGTCAGACCTGAATCTCATGAATAAAGCACAGCACTGCTATTCCCAGCACCTTCATCTTTTGTGCATCTATACAGCAAACTGAGGGAAGCCTGTAGTTGTAAAGTAAGCACTAGTATTGTGAACCCAGATGCTAGAAACTAATATTTTTACTTGGGAGGCTGTGGAAAGTGAGACCCAACTTGGGACAGGTATTAAAGGTCATAGTTAAATAATGATAAAACCATTTCATGCTCTTTTTCCTACTTTTTTGTTTCTTTTCCCAGGCATCAATTTTGGACTTGCACTCTGGAGCTCTTTCACTGGGGAAGCATTTTGTTAATCTGTACAGGTAAAATGGGACTGTGGCTTGCTGCCTCTTGTTATCCTACGCCTTCAGTGCTCAATGCCTCTTCAGATTTCTCAAGCCCTGTGGGCTGGGGTTAGTAACGACAAACTGTAGAAGTTTTAGATTCACCACAGCTTTCGTGACCAGTTAAAAAGCTTTCGTGGCATGAAAACCAATCTCTTGTTGAACTGGGCTCTTTGAAAGCTATCATTACCTTTATTTTCAGAGTTCTTCTTGCACCAGTAAATAATAGTATTTTCTTTCACAGTTATAGTCTAGTTTGTCAGCAGTGGAAGAAATGAAGTAGTCTGAACTTTTAAAAAAGAATTTGAATCTATGTGCTTGTTTTATTATATGGGAGGGGATTTTTTTTTTTCATGCCTGGGGAATTTTGTTATCAGTTGCCGCATCTTGATCCTTTAATCTTTGAGCAATGCTTTGGAAGCATCACGCTCAAAAGCATTTGTAGGATTTTTTTCGTATTGTGTTTTCATTTATCGATTGTGGGTAAAGCACAGATGGGGGTGAGAATGCATCTTGGTATTACTGAGGCAGTCTGATTCAGCAACTCCTCTTTTAACTGTTGCTTAATTTTTCAGGTACTTTGGGGACAAAATTCAAGACATCTTCACAGAAGAGGATTTTGCATTATATCGGTAAAGACTTTCAATAACTGTTGAATGAACCACAAAACATAACTATACTTTTTGTAGAGTGCAGGTTGGGAGGGGATTGTCCTTTGGATTCAGACATACAATTGAATTTGCAGCTCAAAATAGTAATCTCTGAGAATTAAGATGCCTTGAGGAAAATAAGTAAAGGACCTTTTGGTGACTACCTGATAAATAACATCTGCTGCTTTGAACTTAGCCGCATTACCAATGTCAGGACAGTACTGGTGGTGTCAGTGTAATCGAATGATGGCGGCACGACACATTTCCATTTCTGCGTAAGGGTTGATGCCAGCCCTGCAAGCAAGGAGAGCTGCTTCATCCGAGTTCTGTGGTTATTTGCGGGAACATTACAGCTGGGATGTAAAATCCTTTAGCATTAACTCCTATTGCACACACATTATCCAAGAGGTGCTGTGTTAAATGATAAAGACAATCCTATGCTATTATTACATTAGAAACTTGGGTTTTTTTGGGTGAAGAGTAACAAAACATTAAAAATGGTAAAGCAGGAAGTGGAAGGATTTCAAATTACTAATGGTCTGGCCTGAGAAGCAGAGCATACTTTCCCTCGAAGAAGCCAGAATATGAAATAGGGCTATAATGGAATAGCTTTGCCATCTGATGCTTTTAGCTTTCTTGTAGACCTGCTTATATGCTTAACAAAGACAACAAATGTAAGGAGTTCCATGTGTCTGCGAAGGTGCATGGCCAAAGTTTAGGAACAAGCATTCTTTATTGACTAGACACAATAACTCTGTAGTTATGCACTTCAGTTGCTTTCTCGTAATTTAAAATGTATCTGGCTTGAACATTTTAACTCTTTCTTTTTTTCGTGCCTTTGTGAAGGAGTATGACCTCCCTCAAGTGGTGGAAGTAGTATTAAGTAGCTAAATAGTTAGCTATTAGTTTTGTTAGTATAGTAATTTTTATTTGTCTTAAAAAATTAACCACTTAAAGCTTATTTCTGTTCAACTATTTTTAGATACTGTTGTCTTCATAGATGAATTCCTTTAAAATGTGTTTACTTCTTACAAAAATGAGACGCTTCCTTGATTATTATTGAACTTTGACTGTGCAAAGAAAATATATAGTCTCTGACTTATCAAGATGGTGGGGAATATTTTGAAAATAGTCTTTGTTTTGTCTTCCATTCTGTAGAAGATCAAAGAATCTGTAGAAATAACATGAGTGTATGGAGAGAGTGTCTTAGTAAAGCATATTTGTTTCATATTAACAGAAACATTCAGATTTTTAATAATTTTTATTAATTTCTGATCTGTACACTGTGAGATGAGACAGCTGCTAGGCAATATCAATATTCCATTGATATTTCATGCCAATATAGGGGATGTTTCAGTCTGCTGGATATGAATCTAATAAAATATATTATTAAATGCTTCTGTTCATATTAATGGCAGTGCTTTAACATGGGCTGCAGTACCTTATGTCCTTCATTAATGATTTTATGCTATTCTTGGGAGCGCTTATCTTCATTACTTTCACTTGCCTACCAAGGTCAGTTTAAAAATATATTTAGTCATTTCTCTCAAGAGTGTAATTCATGTCCAAGTATTACTGATGGCAACAATAACAAATCTGAGTAGGTGTTCTGAGCCAGGAGGCTGGTTTCTAAACTGTCTCTGTCAAAATTATGTTGTTTCAGAATCAATTATGGTTTCTAGGCTGATGCTTTAACCACCATCTGCCAAGCGTATTACAGCTATTGCTCTTGTTTCACATAATAGATGCATCTTTATCCAGAGGAGGCCTTTAAATCTGGATGCTTGGTTTGAGGGTTGTGACTTCAGCAGAAAATGGCACTATCGAAGATTTATTCCAAAAATCTTACAACTTACTGAGGTAGAGACATAGAAGGATCAGAGGAAGAGCTGATAGCTTGCTTTCCCCCTTTATTCGTTCTGCATGTGTGATTTCTGGTAAAACTTTCTGGCAGTAGAAGAGCATTGCTTTGTCTGCTTCTGCTGCCTCGGGTGCTTTTTGCTGGGGACAGCGTGGAGATGCTGACAAGCGGGCTGGAGAAGTTGTGTTGTTTTGCAAGGCTTTGAGTGCTCCTGTCATCATACTTGCACCATGCTTTGCAGTGACTCCTAACAGTGCGTTTGGTTTTTTTTTTTGCTGGTCTGGCAGAGCCTGTGTCTTACAGAAACTTTTCTGTGGCACTTTTAGTTCTCTTACTCAGTCCTTTATGCTCCTGACACATTAAGCTGGCAACTTTGCAACCTAGTGAACTTCCTTTCTCTTAAGTTGCATGTTCCTTAGACTTCTAGCTACTTCATGGGCTTTTTTTTTTTTGATTCCGTATCACCCTAACTCCAAAACGGATTTCAGTAACTGCTTTTATAGAAGGTGGCCATATGTTCTTTTTAGGGAGTTCTGTCCTGCCTTTCCTGGAGGCTGGCCTGTGCATTTTGATATTATCCAGTGACTGAGTGCAAACATACAAGGACTGCTGCTGACAAATTCTGGGAGGGATTCATTTTTTACTTGCATTATTGACTGGATGCTGTACTCATGTTTATTGCTATAGCAGAGCTCTGTTTAGTGGAGCTGATCAGTGCCAGGGTACACCCTAAGCAGTCTGAGTGAGAAAATTAATGCTTACGTTCTCCAGCATAAAGAAGGATTTTCTTTGTAGCTCTAGTACCCCAGAGCTCTCCCAACAGTCTTTGATATATGGGGGACATGGAGGAAAATGTATGAAGAATGAGAGGGCCAGGATGAAGAAGGGAGGGGAGGCTCCTGCCTGAGGCTCCGGCTTCTGGGTGCATATGAGAAGTGGCTGAGGGCACAATGTGGCTCTTACTGTACCGGATCCAAGGTAGCCAGAATTTCTGGGCTCATTCATTCCTTCCTTGATAGCACCTTCTAAGCTGAAATTTGGCTGATCTTGTCATGTCATTTACGTATGAAGTACAATGCATTTGTCCTTAAGTATTTTACCAATAGACTATATAGGCTGTGTCTGGAATAGCAGGGAAGGGAATGGAAAGAAAAACTTGCAGTCCTGGTATTGATAAATGTTGAAATGGCCAGGTCAGTGGAAAGCAGGCTGTACAGAAGAGTTTTTATAGGCTAAAAAGTGACTTTATACTATTTTTGAAAACAGCTACATGCTGTATTTGGCATACATGGCACAGAATGAGCTGAAGTACACAGATGCATGTGTTCAGATACATCCTTTACAGGATTCTAGGGAACACTTTGATCATTAAAAGAAGTCATGCCTTTGCTCCTACTGCAAGGTAAACACTTGATTCACAGCATAGTTACTGTTGAGTTATTTTCCTTTTCTTTTGAGAACCTGTTGGCCAGCCCAAACCAGGTAGACTTTTGGTTGCTGTTTTTGTCTATTGGGAAGAGTTGAGTAGAGCTTTGCTTCCTGCTTGGTTTGTAAAACGTGCAGTCTTGCCCAACGCCATTGCACGTAAGTCTCAAAGAGGAGTGAGGCTTTAACGGAGCCTTATAAACACCAGACAGCAGATCTTAATAGAAAGCTTTTAAAAGTGGAAAAGGAATCAGCCTGAAAGAGGAAGCAGTACTGCTTAGAGAGCAATACAACTGCTGGAGATTTAAAGTTGTGTCAAGACTGTGGCCTAACTGCTTCAGAGTAGATATATTCCAGCTGGCTGATGCAACTGGCCACCCAGTGTCAGAGCCAGGGAATATGCTGCTTTCGTATTTGTGGGTTAGGCTATTAATTCTTCTGTTGGGTTGTTCAAAGTGCCAGCTGCCCTCGATTCATGACAAAGTGAAATAAGTAATTTGCATTTAATGCTTTTTAGGAAACATAAGGCAGCCTCTGCTGAAGTCCTACTTCTTGGAAAGAAAACAGAGAGAAAGATCAGGCTCTTACAGGCATGAGAGGAAGGACCTGTAGATCCTTTCCTGATTTCAGTTTTACAAACTCTACCACAATGTAGCTCCCATCTTGAAACCTCAGTTCACGCAGCCACGTCAACACCTGAAAATCTCAGCTCAAAATTCATTTAATGGTTTTGATATTTCACATGTAAAATAGCTTGAATTGACCCCTAAAGCTTAGACCCTTAATGTATAGTGAGACAGGTTAAAAATCAAATCTGTATGTCTGGTTTTTGTTTTTATTTTTATTTTGGGGGAGGGACAAGATGTGAACAGAATGAATATTTAGGATTTTTTTTTTTAGTACTTGTGGAAATGGTTTAAGAGGTGACTTTCACAGCCTAATGCTGTAGGTCTGGTTTTAGTTCTGTCGCTTCTTTTTAGTCACTGTTTAAGTTCCCTGGAGAAATACTTGGGAAAAACTTCCCTGAAAATTATGCTGAAGTTCAGTACTACCCAGTGGAGAAATAAATGTCTGACGCAGAAAAGATGCAAAACTACTAATGTAATTCCATGCACAACTTCAGAAGTGTGTTCACTCAGAGTATCTTGTTTGTGTGCTGCTTTTGAAGCACTTAGGAAGGAAGAAAAGGAAGACTAATGTAATGGCTAAGAATGTGTTAAAATTGGGAGAAAACAATATAAAGATTTTAAGAAGTGTAGAGGATTACATTTTAAAAAAAACCCAATGTTTTCATTTCATCTCATTGTGTTAATGCGTTCTTTGCGGTTTTTTAAATTTCCTCGTAGCTAAATACGTACTAGCTGTATGTGCTTACTGGTGGGATTTGCCAGCGGTATTCCTCATTAATCACAAATCTCTTCTCTTTCAAAGCGGTGTTGACCGAACTAAGGCTGGCAGTTTTAGATGTTCCTGTTCTAGCCCTGTGCAGTGATATCTGTCCTGAAAGATGGATGCTGCTATATAACAGTTCTGTATAGTAACACATGTGTGATTATTCGTCTTCATAATCTTAAAAATAAAAAACCATGTTCTTTTCCGGTCTCCCAGGACATACAGGAATAGCCAAGGTAGAAATAGTTTGGTTGAATCTTTGAAAATAGTTGGGAAAGACATCTTGCATTCATTTTTAAGGAAAATCTGGTTGTGATATCAATACATATTAGACTGGATATTAGGAAAAACTTCTTTGCCAAAGGGCTGTCAGGCCCTGGCCCAGGCTGCCCAGGGCAGGGGCTGAGTCCCCATCCCTGGAGGTATTTAAAAGCCGGGTAGATGTGGTGCTTAGGGCCATGGGTTAGTGGTGGGCTTGGCAGTGCTGGGTTAATGGTTGGACTTGATGATCTTAAGGATCTTTTCCAACCTAAACCATCCTAGGATTCTGCATGTTGACTGAGAACCCTGAGTTTCATGGTGTCAGAGACTTCGCTGGTTAGTTTAAATTAGTGTAAAAATAGTTGAAGTTGCTTCAGAGGCAACCCTCTATGAAGGTACAACTTTCTAGTTACCTGATTTGGATTAAAAATTTGTATGTGGAACCCTTTTATTTTTTCAGTAGTTAATAAACAGTGGAATTTTTCAGGAAAAGAGACTGTTTACACAAATTTTAACACCTAGGCCATAGGAGACAAATAGTTTCTTTCTCTTGATATTATGAGAATTAAATAAAACAAACCAACAAACCCCAACCCAAAATACTGGGAGTTCTCTCTTTTTTTTTTTTTTTTGTGTAGTAGATCTCCTTTATTTAAGACAAAATAAGAGAGAAGGCATGGGTGTATGTTCCTCATGATTTATTAGCTGAAGAAGCTTAGCCCTGAAAAAGCAGTAACTGTAAATGAAGGAGAAGCGAGAAGAAGCAGGAGAGAAGTGTGTCACTTAGCATGCTGTGTTGTGTTCTTTGCAGTGATGTGAGACTGAGAATTCAACAAAGGATTGCTCAGGCATTTGGTATCAGCTCTGCCTCCATGTACCTGACTAAGCCAACGTTCTTCTCGAGAATAAACAACACAGAAGCCAAGACAACACACGATGAATACTGGCACCCACATGTTGACAAGGTAAGTAGGAGGCTGAGATGGGATGCGAATGTTTCCCCTAATTATTAGATGACTCTGAAGTCATTTTGCATTAAACAATCAAACATGTTTGAAAACTGGTGCTTGTAAAAATCCTTTGGGGGATGAACCTAGTGGAAGGATAAGTGAGTTTTAGAAACATAGGCCAGTACGCTCCTTTTTATTTTCTTTTCTCTACTTTTAGTTCTGCTAGAATTAATAAATTAGGTGAATGACTACTCAGTCTCTTTTTGTCAGATTGATAAAATTGACTTGCACCTGCAAAGTGTTTCAGTTTCATCAAACCTGTGTTTCCAGTTAGGGTATTGCTCTTTCAGCCAGGTCTAGCGGGAGCTGGTTCAAAGTGGTCAGTCGGTCACTGTTGTTTGTTGATCTGAGTCTCTTGATAAATGCTTAAAGTTTATATTTCAGTTATATGTGAATTGAGGCTTATTTACTGCATGTTCTTCAATGGGAATATGGTACTGTCTTTTAATAATTGGATGTCTTGTTGTTTTTAGAATGTAAATATCATGACTTTCTTTTAACTGCATAGTCTGCTATCTGTAGGCTCATAGCTTAATACTTTGCATTTCTCAATGGACTTAAATGATTTGGGATTGGTATTGAGTCTATTTCTGAATTTAACTGAGTTCAAAGGTTCCATGCAGCATAGCAGAATACAAACTAATGATGGAAGAATCAAATAGGAAAAAAATTGGCTGAGGGACCTGGGGTTGTTTAGTCTGGAGAAGAGGAGGCTGAGGGGAGACCTTATTGCTCTCTAAAACTGCCTGAAAGGAGGCTGGAGCCAGGTGGGGGTCGGTCTCTTCTCCCCAGTAACGAGTGACAGGACGAGAGGAAACGGCCTCAAGCTGCGCTGGGGGGGTTTTAGGTTAGATATTAGGAAAAACTTCTTCACCGAGAGGGTGGTCAAGCACTGGCCCAGGCTGCCCAGGGAAGTGGTTGAGTCTCCATCCCTGGAGGTATTTAAAGAACGGATAGATGTGGTGCTCGAGGACATGGTATAGATGGACTTGGCAGTGCTGGGTTAACGGTTGGACTCGATGATCTTAAGGGTCTTTTCCAACCTTGACGATTCTATGATTCTATGAAAAAAAAAAAAAACCAAAAACTAACCCCTCCCCAAAACACCAGAATACCCACAGTTCACATCTTCAGCATTTAAAAATCAGAGTCACTCTAGACTCATGGATCACCCAAGACAGAACCAAATAAAACTTATCCCATCAAAATCTAAGTTACGCCTCAGTGCTGAAGTCTGTCTGTGGGTAGTGTACCTTGAAGTCTATGACCTGAAACACCCAAGATGAAAAATCAAACAGAGAAATATTGAAAATATTTTCTGGAAAAAGTCAGTATGAGGGAAGTGTAGTGTCTGGTGTTGCTCACAACATTGATGTAAGCTCCTGTGCCCTTTCTTGTCATGTAGGCAGAAGCAGCTTAAATTTAGAAAACATGGTGACAGTGATGATACCTGATACAGCCACTGTTCGAAAGAAGAAAGTAATGCAGGGTGGAATTGTCAGTCACTGATATAAAAAAGATGAGACCAGCTTTTGGATGCTTCTTGTTGAAAAAGCTGTGATGTAACTGTTGAATAGGAGTAGGCCTAGGACCAGAGGGGCAGGGATGGTTTTGAGGTGCGAGTTACTTTGGTGCTGGTAGGAACTGGTTGTAGGGAGCAAATTGTGCTGGTGGGGTTCATGAGAATTCTGTCATGTGTTGCACTCACTTCTGAGAGACACCAAATAAATTAGTGATTCTGGCTGTGTGAAGTGCGATAAATTCATAGGTTCCTCATAGTTTTTCCACACTTTCAGAAAATCAAATTTGACTGCCACAAGGGAAGAGAAAGCAGTAAATTTCAATAGCTGATGGCTATTTTCTCCACTTTTTTCTTTCAGCCCAAAAAAGGGTATTTTAGAATTTCAGACCCTGATTTATTGCTATAATGAGATTTGTGTCTGCATTAGGCTTGCCAATATTACCTTTAATCTTTCCTGCATGTGTTTTCCATTGGTAAATGAATAAGGCGGTTGGATAACCTCACAACTAAGTGTTTCTACCTAAACCTCTCCTATAATGTACAAGTTCTGTCATTTAGAAGCAAATCTGTTTCCATGAAGAGAATGTGTTCCCTTTGTAGAAGGTGCTTCTCTGTTAGGGCACCCTGACAGTGCCTGTGCCTGATGGACAGCAGGCTAGCTGTCTTGCTGGTTTTATCCATCTGTTTTGTCCACATTTTGTTTATCTTGCAGGTTGTCTGTTCAGGGAGCAGATACATCAACTGATTGGCCTTCGTTTTTTTTCTAACCTACCCCTGGTTTCAAAAAACAAAACAAACACAAAATGTGGTCTCTTAACCTTGCTATGCATAACCTAAACCTTAATAGTTTCTATACTGAATAACTGAGTAGTCTGATTTGTGACAGCAGTGCAGAGATAATTATCCCAGTTGGGGCAGTTACCAAACACCTTGTTCATAATCACATAGAATTTGCCCCCACCCCCAATAGCATACCTGCTGTAAAATATGAAACTGTGACTTATGCTAAATTTCAAGGTATTTTCTGAGAGAAGTAGTGTTTAGGTAACACTGGGAGTTAAAACTGTAGCTTGTCCTGTTTATTCTATATAAGTAGTTTGAACATTTTTCACTTCTGTAGCAGGTGACTTCTGCAGCCAGTTGTCTGTATTGGGAAAGCTAGAGCATTCAGGCCACTGAAGTGCTTTTTGTCTGCGCCTTAAACTTATGTTCCAGGTTTGAGCGAATCTTTTAGGCTGGTTATTTTCATTCTTGTTCAAGAGCGTTCTTGCAGTAAGGACTGCATGTGAGTATGCCGAAGTTTGGCCACTGTCTGTGCTGTCGTGGCAGCAACATCGCATGCTAAGCTGGGAGCCTTGTGTGGATCAGTTCCCTTTCATTTTTGGCCTGAGTGAAGGGGCTTCCTGGGTGCTGTGCAATAGAGACCTAGAGCAGACTTCTTGTAAGTGCTTTCTGAGCTCATGACTGGGGGTCCATTTCTTACTCTTTGGGCTTCACAAAGCAAACGGGCAAATGCTGTTGCCAGCGCAGAGGGTGTGAAGAGAGATGGAGAAGCAACTATGGGCTGGGATCATTCTTGTGGAAACTGCCCCAGCTTAGTGGTTCATCCCTTCTCTAGGATAAAGGACTTCAGCTATTGCCAGGTAATACAGTTACTTCTGTGGTTCAAGTGACAGCAGTTTGCATTGCCTGGTTGCAAATTCAGAGTTTGAACCAGGCTAACGACGCCTTAAATAGGGTCTGATAGAGATATATCCTTGATCCTGGTCACTTCATGTCCATCATGAAAGGCCAAATTACATCATCATGTATCATTGCTACTGGACACTGGCTGCCTTCACTTCTGGTACATCGTTCACTTGAATTGGCATCAAAGGATTAATTTGAAGCCTTTCCTTGCTGCACAAACAAGCCTCTAATTCCTCTCTCCTCTCTAATTTCTGTTTGTGTGTCAAAAGGTCTGGTATTTTCCCCTTGAGTGCAGTTGGAACAGAGCTGTCTGTGGATGTAGCATTCATGTACGTGTTTGCCAAATCAGGGCCTACAGAAAATGTTACAGTATGTGTAGAATGCATGTCTGCATATAATTTTAGCCTACTATAGGTATACATTATGTATATCTGTATCTATATTGTTATGTGCTTAGAAAGAGGTAAAAAATAAGTATTTATAACTGATCAGGCTAGGCAGGAGACTGAATTCAAACAGAAGGTCAGTAGGTCAGAAAATATTTCAGAGAGGGCTAAATAGGATAGACAGGTTGTGTAGCTTCACAGACTGACTCCAGTGCAGTCAGCCTGCCTTGTATTTTAATTTCTCCAGCAAACTAAGTTTCACTTACCACTTCCAGACCCCAGTTCAAAGCAAGGAAAAAAAATGCATTTCTCTTGATCTGACGTAGGAAATACTTCCCAGATAAGAGCAGTAATATGCTTATGTGGCCTCCAAAACAAGAGAGAATACTAGGGAGTTGAAGACAGATCAATAAAACTCAGCCTCTTAAATATTTTGCTAGTTTGTTGGATGCTTTGGTGTTGTATCATTATTTATGCTTTCCCCTTGGAATAGAACAAATCACTTCATGTATTTCTGCATAATAATTAAACGGTGGAAGTTGCTTCTAGAAGACTTCAGGATTTTTTCCCCTGCCTCTTTCCAAAAGAAAGGTAAAGTTAAGCCTTTGAAAAATGAATCTGACACTTTTTTTCCCCAAAGTCTGACACTAGTTCAGAAAGGCTTCTTGGAGCAGACAAATACCCCTCTTGCCTTTTTCCCTATATTGCTGAGTCTGTTGCGATTATATTTCTCAACCTGAATATCCTTGGTTTGGAAGATGTGAACTGCATAATGGAGTGGCACAGATCTATTGTGTCTATATGAGGCTTTGGGGTTTTTTGCCTAAAATTTATTTGGTTTTTAGTTACATAGGAATGGAAACCCTGAAATCACCCAAATGACTCAATCCTGTTGAATTTATAAGCATCTAAATCAAATAAAGAGAATGTTGGCTTAAGATGTGGAGTTTCATCTTGGATGGAATTTGTTTGGAACTGAGCCTTTCAAATGGCAAATGTCTGATTTGTAATGGAATTGCTGTTGCACGCTCAACTCTGACAGCACTATGGTCTTATAATGTTCTCTAATAGAACTGATGCCGGAGATTGAAGATTTCTGCAGTCCCCTGCCTGGGCGAGGATCCTGTCATCCTTCACAGAATTGTCAGGCTCTGCCATAAGATCGGTTTTTGTTTGTTTTCCTTTTAATTTCTTCTGTCAGAGCTATTCCAGGACTTCAGTGCAAATTTTCTTTTTTTTTTTTTTTTTAGCCTAAACTTGTTCATGATCAGTTTATAGCTATTTTTTGTTCCTCCCATCCCCATGTATTTATAGGTATCAATCATATCCCTTTTCAGCCTTTCTTTTTCTAAGCTGAACAAGCCAAACCTTCCAGTCTCCATGTTGTCCAAAAAGCGGATTCTTTGCCCGGTGTGCAATAGGCCAATATTCACACACTCGGGAGAGATGTTGCTTATTTCAAGTTTGCGCTAAGCTGAGCGCTTGGTGGTTTCCCACAAATCAAGCACCCCTTCGTACAAAGCTACAGCGTGTTTATCCTGCTATGTGATTAATATAAACCTGCCCAAATTTACACTCATTGGCTAGTGATTAACATTTCATACACTACTGGTTTACTGCATCGAAATTAGCCTTGCTCGCTATGTAAATAAGCGCGCATGCTCCTCTCAGGTGGGGGGGTCAAGGCTTTTCGGTCCTGAATTGAGTCTGTGGTCACGATCTCCCCTCGCCACATTTACCTTTCACCCAGCTACTGCAGTTTTATCAGACTTCGTGCTTTTCTAGCCACCATCCAGTCTTTGGCACCGAGATGTTTCCTTTTATCAGTCTGTTAGCTCTTCTTCAAGGGTAGAGCCATTAGTTTTCCACAGTTCGTTACTTAAATACTCTCATATCTTTTAGCTCCCTCCCAAATTCCTTTCCCAAGGCACAGGTGGTTTGTAGTTTTGCTCAGTGGAAAATTCTGCTTTCTGCAGGCAATCATCTGTACCTGGGCTATGCTCTCCATCTCCCTAACCCTTCTAGCAGCCCTCTCTCCTCTGGCTGTTGAGGCTATCGCTGATAGCAGCTGCTACCTGTTCTAGCAGGCTTTTTGCTGTTTTTCTTCCCCTCGTGTTGTTAGACATTTAATGAAATACATCAAAAGATCTTACTTCTGCCTTAGGACAGCATCATCTTTGAAATCTGAGGAAGCTTATTCTTGAGTCTACTCAAACCTGTTACCTCAGCTCACCTACAGCCCTTGGCAATTCAGAGATACGCTATTTGGTGTCTTACATTGGCTGTTAAATAGATGCTACCAATATAGAGAGGATTGGAAGTAGCTATCAAGGCTATTTTTGTGATTATCTGCACAAAGAAGTAGGTAGAGGCTTACAGGAAAAGAGCACTTTTGACTCTTATTTCTGCAAGACATCACGCTAGACCTGTGCTGATTGGAAAGTGAATACATGTTTGTATTTTCTTCTGCCATGAAAAGCAGAGGATGCTGTTCTACGTATCTGTCTTAGTAACTGCAGGCCTGTTGCATATTCCTACGACTGTTTAGTTGCATGTAAACATGTGTCCCTCAGACACCTAAGGGTGTCACACTGCTCAATGTGGCTGGCTAATTGTGACAATTACTTGTATTTATAATAATAGCTTTTACAGAAGTATCCTATAAATATCATCATGAGCATCTACCGTTGACTATTAGCTGTGTTTGACTTATTTGGGTAAAGGGTGCTCAAAAAGAGCCCACTAACTGTGTGAAGTATCAGGCTGAATGGAAATGCCTGCATTTTTCTATTGAATTGTTCATGAGGAGCTATAGAAATCTGATTTGCTGCAGTGTGCCTGTATGGCTTTATCACCAGGTTTTAATGACAGCTTTTCTCACTTAGTTTGAACTTCTGGTTCAATTATTAACCTTTCTGGTACTGGAAATCATTACCAGGGTAATAAATACATTCGATATACCTGGGGCAGCTCTAGCATTTTAAATAACCAAGTATAATTTAGTGCCTCCTTTCCATAGTGTTGCATTTCTCAGGCCTGGCTGCCTTCTGAGAGTTAGTAATGAACAGGAACAGAAAAGCCATTTTCCATTGCATATTTGGTTCCCCAAATTAGTCATCTATAGAAATCAGATGTGTTTAGTTAGGCTAAAATGGTTTGTAGTCAGCTCTTGAAAGTTCAGAATTGGTAAAGCCACCTTGGAGAGGATGGAGAGTGCACTGAGGGAGCAGAGAGTGCTGTACCACTGAAGAGCTTGTAAAAACAATTTTAATGCATTAAATTTGCAAGTATGAGTTGAACAAACTTTGCTATGCTAATGCCTTCACTAGCCAGAAGACTTCCTTGAAATGACTGGAAGTTTTATCACCGAATCAATGAAGGTGAAAGTAGTTTTGCAAAGCTGATTGCGTGAGGAGGGCTGGAGAACGGCTGTTTTGAGGTGCTGCAGTACCACGGGCTCATTAATTCCTCTTTATTGCCTTGTATTGCTGCCAAGGTTTGGGTAAATATGGGGAGAAGGGGGTCACCAAAACATGTCTCTCATTCTTGTGATTCGGACTGTGTAGTGCAGCACGTCACCAGATTTGGCTTTTTTCCTTTAAGCCCTTATGGTCAAAAGAAATAAAATGAGTACGAATGAAAACATCGTCCTATTCCATCTGCTGCTACATTCTCTTTAGTCATTGCCCTTACAGAATAATATGTACAACTGCTGTTGAGCCAAAATTTAACTGGCACTACCGAGTGTAACTTAAAACAAAATTGGAAGTATTTAGAAAACTTCTAGGTTTGGAAGTAGCACCTACCTCTAACAGTCACCAGGTCAGTCACAACACTACAAATGCTGTACATTTATACAGCCCTGCTGTGCTGCACGTTTCACTGTTTGACAGTGTAATGCAGAACTTGATTGAGTTGTGATATACCGTAAAGAAACTGGAGAATACAGCCATTCATTTTAAGTGTATTTTTAATTGTTGGTGACATGTAGATATGCAAAGGAAATATCTTCAGAATCAGCTGAACTCAGTGTTAAATATTTAGATAGCTTCACTCTGAGCGTTAATATATAGCATTTCTTTTCTCCATCTTCAACATACATATCGAGCCAAAATAATACTTTAAAAGGAAGGAAGTTCACCCTGTTGTACTTAAATGGGGTGTTTGGTCTGTAGACTGAGAAGCAGCAGAGACTTTGAAAGTCATGTTTGAAGGTTTTTAAACAAAACACGTATGGAAGAGAGTAGAAGTTCCTCCAACAAATGCGTGCTTACTTGGAAGGTCTGATTCGCTGTTACTGTGAAGCTCCTGCATGGTAGCTGGTGAGAGAGTAAAAGGTGAGGCTTCCAGAAACCTATGACCATGGTTAGATACTGGGTGGGATTAATGAGCTCAAGGCTGGTCTTGGGTCTCATTAACCTTAGGGTGAAATTTTATCTTGAAATAGTATCAATAGATCTGAGCCCTTCTGTATTTTTGCTACAATGCAGAGGTGTAACTTCTGACACTAGTTGTTTTTTGCTAGCTGTTTAGTAGAGTTAGGATGATAGAAATCAATAGGAGCACTTCTTTAATTATGGAAACCGTAATAATAGAAATAATAAACATAAAATGCTAGTCTTGTATGTAGTGTATGTGTAAACATAATGGACTAATAAACATCACTTCTAGAAAAGAATGTTCTCAATTTTCAGAGACCCCTTTATTAAATACGTGAGAACTGGAAAATTAGGAAAAAACCATCAGATCCATCTGCTAATTATTTCTACTCTGCAGAGATGAGAGTAGAATTTGGTAATTTTTAATGTTGTCTTACTCCCAGGTAACTTACGGCTCTTTTGACTATACTTCACTGCTCTATCTCTCTGACTACACTGAAGACTTTGGTGGTGGACGGTTTGTCTTTATGGATGCAGGTTCCAACAAGACGATAGAGCCCCGAGCAGGTAAGAGCCTTGGTTTGCCTGCTTTGGGGCAGGCCAAATTGTGCTGTTTATTAACTGGCTGCACTGGCAGAGGTAGTGGGACTTCGTTTTGCGTCAGCAGTAACTGTGGAATAAGGTAGCATTTTTCAGATTGATTACATAAAGTAGAGATTAACAAAGGTGAAGATGTGGCCACAGTTGGAAACATCTGGAGTTAAGCCACACCAAGTGACTTCCTTGAAAGCTGCAGGGCTTAACTGCACTCCAGTTATGATAGCCTAGCGGGTCACTGTGCATCAAGGGCAAAGATAACTGTGTGACTACAGCAAATCCAAAATAAAGCGATTTAGACTGTCTGGCCTGAAATTCCTTTGCTGTTCAAGGTGGGGCTTAATACCCTGTAACTGCTGTGGGCTGGGTGCGAAGATGATTGATTACCACAGCTCTGCTAACCGGCAGTAACGTGTTGAACCACGGTAACTTGGTTAGAAGTCCATGCCTGCTTTCAGTAGATGTGACAGGGATGAGCATTCTGATGGCTGTCAGTTATACCTAAAAAAGCCTGTCCTTTAAGGCTGGTTTAAGATTCTTCTAGTAAGTGGATCATTTGAAACTAGAATTACCTTGGGGCGGTGTGCCTAGGAAGAAAGCGCTCGGCCTCAGCTCATCTGTCTGGCAGTGAGTGCTGAGCTTACAGCTGTTACCGCAAACCACTCCAAAAACTTCTGACACCAGTTTGGCATTAGAAAGCAGGCATTCTTCATTGCAGCGCTGGATGCACGGGGGAGATCTCCACCTAGCGTGCATGCCGTAGGTCACGCCAGCAAGGTATTTATCAAACTTAAACATATGTATTCATTAATTTTCCAAGAAAAGTCATTAATATTACAATTATTTCCCAGAAATCATTAACATATTTTCCTTCCCCCTGGAGCATGGGCTGTTTAATTCTGGGGATTCTTTTGGGGGTCCTTGGTGGTCATTATCCTCAAATTCGAGCTGTCTGCTTGTTGACCTCGTTGATTATTTTTTTTCCACCTAATCATGCTGATTTGGCTGTTTTCTTTTTGTTAAGAACATAGCTGATGCTCCTCAATGTCCAGGGATGTTCTTGTTTCATGTTCCGACTCCCCATTACCTTTGTTCTGAGCTCACTATTTTGTTCAGCTATTCCTTCTTACCATAGAATCACAGAATCGTTAAGGTTGGAAAAGACCCTTAAGATCATCGACTCCAACCATTAACCCAGCACTGCCAAGCCCACCACTAACCCATGTCCTCGAGCACCACATCTACCTGGCTTTTAAATACCTCCAGGGATGGAGATCTTAGAGGCCTCTCCTCTGTCCTTGGTTTCTGTGGTTGTTGGTCATTAACTTCTTCCTAGTTCTACTCTGTCCTTGGTAGCTGTCAGTCGTTGGGGATTAACTTCTAAGCAGTCCTTGGTAATTAACTTCTTGAAGCAGTGCTTGGTGATTGACATGTTCCTGAATCCCACATGTAACACAGCAGTGTAACCTCTTATAATGCAAGACCAGTCACACTTCTGCAGAAAAAAAAAAATCAAGGACCACTTCATATTCCTACTATGGTCTCTCTTTTTTTCCAAGAGAGAAAAGATGGAAATTTACTCATTTGAAGACAGCCTCGGTAATTGTCTGCTGACAGGCATTACCCCAAGCAGAACTGGCTTCTGACCATTGCTGCCTGCAAATGGGGATGGGTGTGGGGTTTTTTTGGTTTATGGATCATAGCGATCCACTCGCCAGCAGTAATGCTGGCTTAGATCAACTCTGAGATCGTCTGCATTCTGGGTTTAGTATCAAGAATTGTACGTTTGATTTTGGTTGGAAATAAAGCCTAAACTGAAAGTATCATCTTTGCAAAATGCTGCTACCAGTATTCTGAAAGGGAACACAGGAAACTATTTCATTTCCAGATGCAATTCTAAGATTAACATGTTTTTATAGCTGTAGAAATCGTAGCTGAATTCTAGGTAGCAGGGAGGACAGCTGTCTCCTTGCATACAGGGGCGCTCAGTCCGATTGCTGTATGCAACGTGCCCCCGACTTAATTTCAAAAAATCTGCAACTGTGAAATTGCTTCCGTTCAGCCCCATCAGGTTCATTTTCGGGCTCTGCTGCAAGGTGTTTGCTCTCCGTGTCGTTCTTGGGGAGGAAGGGGGAGCGGACAAAGTACCGAAAGGTGTTTAGCAGCACCTGGTTTTGGCCGTTCCCTTTCACAGGCTGTTGCACTGACGGTGGGTGTGCCACAGGACTGGTCACACACAGCTTTTCAAAACAAAACAGCGCAAAGCTCAGAGGGAATGGCCTGCTTTGAAAGATCAGATGTGCCACATGTACACAACAGAAAATTAAGTTTAATGCCAGTTACACCTTTCTAACACACTCCTCTGCCTAAACACAGCTGTCGGGTCCCGTGATGGTGTCGCTACCTATGGTGCAATCCAAACAACTACTAAAATCCTGGGAGAAAGGGGAGAAAAGCTTTCGAGGTGAAGCACAAGGGGAAGGCGATTGCACTTAACTTTCCTCTTGCTGATAAACTGCAGCTTGTGAGAGAATGGGAATGAGGGAATGACCCCAGGGTGTTTTCTGTTGCTGGTACAACTGGATATATTTCTCATGTTCAGAATGTTCCTTTGCAGTGGTTTTTCTCTCCTTCCCTCTGTGGTTTGTTTGATTTTTATTTTTGTTGTTGTTTTTGTTTTATGCTTCTTTTGATACTTTGTGTTTCTCCTGTCACTCCAACCCAACTTTTAAAACCCTAAGCTTTTATGCTTCTCATTTAGGAGATTCCGGCTTTTTTTAGCGATGACTCTTGTAATTGCTGGTTCCGTTTTAGTGCATGACAGCTATTTACCTTCTCCGTATTGCTAATGCCACTTCAGTTCCGAAACCTGGCACTTCTTGTCTCAAAGTTGGTCTGCATTTTCGGAACTTGGTACTGTGTGCCAGAATGAGCCCCTTCCCTTCGCTGTGAGCAGTCCCTTGTTAGTGTCAGGCTTTGCAACAGGGAACAGGAAGGCACTGTTACCGATGCAGCAGAGTAGAAAAGCAGTAATTGGACATATAAAAAAAGACAATTAAAAATAAAACATTGGGATTTCCTGCGTTGTGAAGTGCTGCCTAGGCAAGTCCCACCCTGCTTCAAATGCTTTCGCAGCGCTTGCTGTGTAAGGGTAAGTCTTAGCCAGAGAGTTAGGAACAGGGAAACCTGTTTTGTTAGAAGTGGAGCCTGATTTTTAAAGCATTTATCGCATCTCTAAGTATGTATCACTGGTGGATTGTATAAGAAGTCTGTAAGTCCTGATTCTCACATATTTGAGTGAAAGACTCAATATAATTTGTAGCATGATCTATAACATTGCTTAGTTCAAATATTAACAAATGCTTCTAGCTTTAAGAAGGAATTATAATTTATTAACCTAGAGGCTCTTGAGATTTTTTTTCTTTTGGCATGAGCAAGTCACCGCCGTGATGCCAATTCGTGTGTGCAGACCTTTAGCTAATTCGTAACCCAATGTGGCATTAAGGAACACATCGTTCTTGTGCCCTGATGGGCTTCAGGAGTATGTATGTGTCGTTTGACTTAAGTCAGGACCTCTGCCTGCTGCAAGAGACTCACTGTACCGTGAGTAAGAATTCTCGGTGCCAAGTGAAATCCTACTTTGAAAGGTAAATGTTTTTTTTGGACAAAGAAACAGTTCTAAAGTAATATCTGTTGCTTTTAAATGGCTACATTAATTCTATTTCCAAAACTGAGGTACTAGCATTTTGTTTTCTTCCTTTGCACCAGGGGTAGCTCTGTTCAAGAGGCAAAATGAAATAGAGCAGCAGTTAGAATGAGGCTCTTCAAAATGACGCCCACAGCCCTTTCAACATTAACCTTCTTTTGCTGGCCTGAGACCTGTTTTAGTAATCCTCAATAGACCCAGGAGGATTAAGAATAAATGGCAGACATCAAGGCAGTCCTTTTTTTTAATGATAAAATTGGTATACTTCCTGCTGCTACTAAATTTATCAGTATAAACCATATTTAAAATGTCATAATTTTGGAGACTCTTGTGTGAATTCGAGGACTGGCAATATTGGAATCTCGGTATCAGCCGTATGTTCCTTATTTGCATGTACATTTCCTAGTTTTAAGGTCGGCTTTGCTGCACTTATTTTCAACTCGCAAAGGAGTTTGTTCTTCATACAAGTTGTTGTTTATTATATGAGGGTAGAAGGAAGGGTTGCAATCGCTTCTTCTGTGTGTTTGTGGAAGAAAATAATCTATGGTGCAAAATTAATTCTGTGCATTGGAGAGCGAAATGTGACTCTTCCTTGAATATCAAACTTAGCGTATTTTCATAGCTGTCAGAAGTGTGTGTTTCTGAAAGTGTAAAAATATCTGAGATGAAGATATGAGCTACTTGGGAACTTGTGAAGTTGGATTATTCTTCATTTAGAATGGAAAAAAGGTGTACGCTCAAAGCCTGAGCCTTTAGTTTTTCCTGCTCGGGTAAGGAGAAGCGTACGTTGAAGAATGCATGGGTAGCTTTCTCATAGTGCAGGAGTGGGCTTCAGGGCGCCTGTGGGCGCATCACCGAGGTAAGCGCAGCTTTATGGCAGCGGGTAGGTATCACGTGGCTGAATCATGAGAGTAAGTGCAGTACGCCAAGTGAAGTGGTGGGAATTTGTCATACCTTTATTTTATTGTGCTCTTTAGAAAATCAGTTTGGAGGAATTCACCACTAAATGCTGAGGGAGTGCAGCATGGTGACACGAAAAGTAAGATTTCCAGATTCAGAAGTCCCACAACAACATTAACAAAAGGTGTGAAAATTGAGTTTAAAGCATATACTGACTAATCCATCTTGTATCATGGAATAACGGGCATTCCTAGCTTTAGTTGTGCTCCAATCAGTAAAACTGGAGCACATCTTGATATGAAATCAGCAACAGCTGACAGCTGAGCTGCCACAGATGTAGCTGTCAGGCCTAGAGAAGAATAAA